GGGGACGGAAATCACGAGACACTGCTTCACAGGCAACTTTCCATTCTGTGTAGACATTTTTAGTTTCCAGGTGTTAAATTATACCCTGCAAGAAGCACTTACACATCAGAGATTCCATAGTTCAAAAGGAAAGAGCAGAGATAGCAAAGATCCTATGGTTCAACTGGAAACTACATGCTCCTCTGAAGTCAAAGTAGAACACTAAAGAGATTTTCACAGAATAAAACCTCCAGCGGAGTGTTCTGTGTCAACTCGGTACATTGGATATAGGCTCAAGATTAATTTCCTCTATGCTCAGGAGGTCGACATACATGGCTTTCCATGCCCTTTCTGATCTGTTCTAACTCCTCCTGTGTGTCTTATCCTCATTTTTAGAGAAGATAACAAGCAGCTATATCTGGGTGCTCCACTCTTCCCACTCTCTTCCTCTTTCTGCCCACTTCCACAATTACAGATTCATGTTTTCAAAACATATCATTTTAGGAAACGATAGCCAAGCTCCAAACAAGGTAAATATTTCTGTAGAATTTAATGGAAGTACTCATCAGAGAAAAAAATCATCTAACTGTAGGTGTACTAAACACTAGGACAGGAAACAGGCAGTGTAGACTTAAGAGTTCAATTCCTTTGGGAAGACAAGGACTAAATTCCCATGTGAGTAAAAGAGGTGGCTGAGATGAGCCTTCTCCGTCTCTGTCTCTGTCTCTCTCTCACACACATACAACACATATACACACACAGTCACACACAGCTGTGAGCATGCCGGCAGTCTGGAAGGGCAGAAGAATCTACACTATCCCTCAGGGAAAAAAAAGCTCTAGCTACCAATATAAGATCTGGTTCTAAACTAGGGACGTGGGAGATGAAGGTACAACTAATATTATTCAGGTACAACATCGGCAAAATCTCCAGGCACAGTGGGATATGCCCGGATAGAAAGGAACTCCCACTTAGAATGAGTTCGCAAACTAAAATTTCATAGCAAAACGGAAAACTTATAAAAGACCACAAAATCAACAAAGGGCTACTTTACTTGCAAGGAAATAGAAATAATAGGGCAATCTGAAAATAATTTTAAAATAAGGATATTTAAGACTCAGAAATTTAAAGGAATGAATAATTCGTTACATAATAAGTAGATTAAGATAAAATTATGAGAAACAAATTGGCATTTATGAATCAAAGATCATTTTATGAAAAAGATTTAGTTAGAAATCCTAAAAATGAAAAAAAATAGCTTTTGAAATAAAACAAAAACTCAATAGACTAACCTCTAGACTGGAGATTCTTAAACTACTGCACATCAGAAGTATATGGGGAGCTTGTAAAATCCCAATGTCAATTCATATCCCAGATTACATTAGAATCTTTGTATCAGGAATTAAAAAAAATCTCTTTGAGTGATCCCAGTATTTAACTAATTTAGAAATGCAGTTATTTGGGTATAGTTCAAGTGTCCATTTAGAACACAGCTTTAATATACAAACATGCATAAGAAGGAATTATTTTAGAAAAATAGATCCATCTACCTGACCCATAAGTATCCTTAGCCTGATGACAACTCTAGCTAGACATACTCAACTTGGATTGGCTGAAGATTTCTTGGACCAGTTCAGTCCAATGCTAATTAACCCAATACTGATCTAGAATCCTGGAATGACCTTCTAATAGCCAGGGACATTTGGAGTTTATATTGAGCTTCAAAGGAATTCAAAGGGCGAGAATTCCTTTTGTGACTTTCGTAGTATAAAGACCTCAATACATTGTTCTGGCTGAAACAACAAGCCAGAACAATACATTGTTCTGGCTGAAACAACAAGTCAGCAGGGAGGGGGTTCCAGCCCTACCTGGCTATGTGACCTTGGCAAGTCCTTTAACCTCTCCGAGCCTCAGTGTCCAGTGCCACTGAAACTCTGCATTTCTGTCCAGACTCCCAGGTGGTGCTGATGCTGCTGGTCTGCAGCCCGCCCTTTGAGTAGCAAAACTCTAGACTAGGGAGATAAAAGAAGAAATCAAATAGGGCCTTAACGTCATTTGTTTTCTAAAATTCATAAATGCACCTAACATAATTTAAATAAAATATAACCTCTTATGAATTTTGGGTGAAAACTGGCAAGCTGATTCCAAGATTTATATACAAAAGGCTCAGAACAGTTGAGATAATCTTGACTAGGAATAAAGATGTAAGATCTGTAATAAGAAACAAAGTTTTAAATCATTAGTATTGACATTTGTTATGGTGATGCTTTAATATAGATTGAAAACTTTTATTTGCTTTATGAATTAACATCCTTATGACTGGCTGTGGGATAATACCAAAATGACTTCAGTTGTCCCATTTTTTTTATTTTTGGCTTCTTAAAAGTTTGGGAAAGCTAGCTCTGTCTCGTTAACTTCTGCCGAAGAGGGGGCATTTTGAACCCCGCAGATGAGTTTTAGGTGGAACTTGCATGCAACTGCTGTACTTCCCCATGGTCAGCGGTGATTACGCCCAGTTCTGTCATCTTTTATTTTAAGTTCCCAGGACAGACGTTACTGCTCACTGCAGAACAGCTTCATGACGATTTTACATGGAGAAAACAGATTTACTAAAAGATGAGAGAGGAAATCTTGTGATGTGTTTGATGTTTCTCTATTATTATTATTTTGACAATGTTACCCTAAACAGAATCAATTATAGATTTTGAAAGGTTCTAAATTCTCTTGCATTTTATCATGTTATTAAGTGATCATTTAAATTGATTCTCTGAATATAGTAGCTTTATTTCATATATTTATATCAATAGTACCTTAATATTGCTTATAACTCTCTTTTTGCAGGGCCTCATTATTTGATCACCACGAACTAGCAGACTACTTAATTTCAGTGGTAATTATTCCATTGACCATTTTTTAAAATTACTATTTACAGTTGAAAATCTTTTAATTGCGTAATATGAATTTGTAAAAGTAAACCAAATTTCGGTTTCTTGCTTATCAGCAAAAAAGTTTACCAGAAGATTGACACATTTACAAACAGAGGGTTGCGTATGAATATACAATGGCCAGACTTCATTGTCATAAAGTTACAGGTCCCGCAGTGCACTTTCGATGCCTGTATCAGTGTGTGGGGGTGGGTGGGAACATGGCAAAGAAAGCTCTTATGTGAACCAGTCCTGGGTGTGTTAGGCTTGACAACTCCACTGACGCTTCTTCAGCACAAGTGGCTTTGAGGTGGAGGCAGGACAGTCAGTGCAGGTCACCTTCACAATTCATTGTAAGCATCAGTGCCGTCTTTCAAACAGTGAAAAACTGAGGAGTTAAAAAACTTGCCCAAGGTGGTTGGTTATAAGGGAAAGCATGAGATTTTTTTTCATTCGGAGCAGGGAAACCAGTTGGCTATTGAGTTAAATTTTAATAAGCCTTTTTTTATATGGCTGAATGTATTATGTATTTGTTTAAGCCACATCATCTCAGCAATGAATGTAGTTCCATTTGTAATATTTAACATGGGTTCGTTGTCAATAGCAACTCTTGATATTGTGATATTTACATAGAAGAATCCTGGGAAGACTCATAATACATTGTAGTTTTGTCATGCATGGTTTTCTGCAAATGCAGCCCTGTCTCCACCTGGCCAGGCAGAACCTCACCAGCCACCATTATGCTTTCGATGAGGATACTGCCGCCATCAGTGTCTATATTCAGTGGGTACCCAAAGAACGAGAAATATCCACAATCGGAGTTTAAGCTATTTTTATTACCCGCTCCAAAAGATGGGATTTTTTTCCATGAACTTTTTTAAAGCCTTTGTTTCTTGTCATATCAAATATCATAACCATAACATATAATGGTAAATATTGACTTATTCATTTAAATATATGTATATAAGCTGTGATTTTTAAATACAAATTAAATGGTTAAAATTTTACTTTATGATTTGAGTTATTGCAATTATTTAAGTTCATATATTTCAGATGAAGTAGGTTTTTTAAAAAGTGAACAATTTCTTGTGAATGTTTTTAAGATCACATATGTGATAAATTGGGAAGATTTTTTTTTATTTTGAAAATTTAAAAATCTTTTCTTACAGTGGGAAATCAGCTATTGGTGCTGTCAAAGGATTTTATTTTTATGATGTAGGTAGTGAAATAGATCTATTGTCAGATGTCAGTCAAAAGATTAATATGTGAGGATAATTTTTGTTGTTGAAATTATAAAAGAATTCCTCCATTTCTGATGTTACGACATATGAATTATAGAGAAATTTCAAGCAGTTCTATATTTATTATATGCTTGAGTGCTAGCCATATTATGGGCACTCTATCCCAATGAATTAATATTATTCGGGTTCTAATGTAAGCTTATTTTTCTGTTCATAAGCTTTTGGTTGATGATTTGTTTTATTTTAGGGAGCAGATATTAATAGCACCGACTCTGAAGGACGATCTCCGCTTTTATTAGCAACTGCTTCTGCATCTTGGAATATTGTAAATTTGCTACTCTCTAAAGGTACCGTGAGGGACCAAGCCACGCCTTTAGAACTACTACTCAATTTGGTTAGATAAACATTTATTAACCACTCATTTTGGGCCAGGTACTATAATACAAAGATAAATAGAATACTTTCCATGTCTAGAATAGTGTTCAGTCCAGTGAGGGAGTGATACTTAAAAAGACAATTTCAGAACAATAATAGATAGCATTTATAAAGCAATTATTATATCTCAGACATTTTGCGAAACATCTGATCTCCATTCTCTCAATGGTTAATTTTATGTGATGTAGGTATTATAACTGTCCCGATTTTAGATACTAACCTGATCTGTCAATAAAGAATGGAGATATTTTCCCGTCTTCTTTCTTGATCTCTAATCTCTTCATCTTTTTTTATGCTTTAAAAGGTAAGACCTCAGATATTAATTAATGTAATAAATCATGTATTCTCTCCCCCTTTTACGCACACACACTAAGGTAAATCCATTTTTAAATATATTTAGTTTTCTTATCTAAATAAAGTTTCCTGTAAGTTAAAGATTGGCTGCGTTTTAAGTCAAACATTTTTTATTTTCTTAAATTGAAAATCCACCGTAGGCTGTGCTTTAAGTACATGAATAGAAGTTATATTTATATCATGCATTTTAGGTGCCCATGTAGACATAAAAGATCATCTTGGACGCAATTTTTTGCATTTGACCGTACAGCAACCATATGGATTAAATAGTCTGCGACCTGAGTTCATGCAGGTAATAGATATGTACCTATGTGGATTCCCATAAACTGAGTTGGGTTCAACAGAGTAAAATGATTTTGCTTATTATGATGTTTGTTATTATAAAAGCTGATTCTGGAATTTAAAAGTTATCTTAAAATAAAGATGCCATATTTGAGCATTTATTTACAACATAGTGGTGACGATTATGATGATAAGAAATTACATTGGGATTGAATTTTCCAAGTTACAAAGGTTCCAATGCATCCCCATTGATAATAAGTCACCTTTCCTTCACTCTTTCACCATTAGGAATTACGTGTCAGTGAAGAAGCCAAGTATATACGCTGATTAGCAATACACCATCATCAATTAAGAAAAAACTGCTCAAAATGCTTGACTTGTTGACACACTGACAACATTATCTCCTCTCCATATTTATATTCACTAATATCATTGGATTAATCTGCTCATTTGGCATTTATTCTTTATTTAATATTCAGACGAAAGATAAAGTAAACCTAATTTTAACGGCTCATGCCTTTTGCCTAACAGAACACATTAGTGTGCAGCTCATAACTGTTATTTGGGGGGAAAAGTGAAGGGAGAGGTGTGGAAGGTGGTCCTTAGTCAAATACATTTGGAAAACATTAGGTTAAAAATGTTAAGCACATTTTCCACAGTTAAGATTTCTCAGAGCCTTTGCTATGGTAATGCACATCGCGGGGAGCCAGGGCATGCACTGTCATCCACATCTATTTTACTCTAGTTCCCTTCGGGTTATTTACATTTTTGCCCTCAAGGTATATACGTATTGACCCTATTCTGCAGAATAGTTAAAAAAAAACACTTTAATTAGCATGATCAAGGGAGTTACGCTTAGAATATTAATTTTTTCCCTTAGATGCAACATATTAAAGAGCTGGTAATGGACGAAGACAATGATGGGTGTACTCCTCTACATTATGCGTGCAGACAGGGCGTCCCCATCTCTGTCAATAACCTTCTGAACTTCAATGTGTCCATTCATTCCAAAAGCAAAGATAAAAAATCACCCCTACATTTCGCGGCCAGGTAAGGGTCCGCTTATGCAACATATCAGCATGTCGTCTTTCCGCTTAATATTTGCCTTGGGAATAAGAAACCTAATTTTTTTCAAGTTATGGGCGTATCAATACCTGCCAGAGGCTCCTGCAGGACATGAGCGACACGAGGCTTCTGAATGAAGGTGACCTTCATGGAATGACTCCTCTCCACCTGGCTGCAAAAAATGGGCATGATAAAGTAGTTCAACTTCTTCTGAAAAAAGGCGCCTTATTTGTCAGGTGAGGATATGTGAATGGAATATTTATATATTCTTTTTAACTAGCCGTTTCCAGGCTGTTTTTCTATTTTATTTTTAATTATGGTATCTAACCCTATCTCACTAAGTACTTTCATCCATCTTTGCTCCTTGAAACATAGATGACTTCCTAGATGTTGAAAGAGAAGTCAGTATCATTGCCAAGTGATGAATGGAGACGTTGAGGTTTATAGAGCTGAAGCCCTGATTTAGGGTCACAGAATAAGTGGCTTTGTGCTTGGTAGTTCCCAGAAGCTCTGAAATACGGTTTCTCATATTTTACTTCAGCATGCTACCACCTTTTTATGCAGATACAAAACTGGGTGTTTACATGTACACACACCTCATACACACACACACACACACACACACACACACCACAGAGACTCTATTTTTCATTCAATCTGATGAACGACACACACACACACACACACACCCCACACACAGAGACTCTATTTTTCATTCAATCTGATGAATGGTAGACTCAAAAAGCTACAACAATGTGCTACAAAATATTCCTGAATTTCGTTATGCTTAAATTTAACACAGGGAACAAAATCAAATTAAAATAATTAAGCATAATAAAAAGGTAGCATAATGAAATGACATCTTTGTAAAAGGAATTTTGAAAACCCAGGAAAGTTTTATAGAGGCATGATGAACTATGTTCTAATTTCACCCAGGTGACTATGCAAAGAGCCAATTAGGCCAATGTTCAAAAACACATTTCCTTATCAGACTGCCAACCCCAGCAGTGTCAGGATGCAGCTGGGAACCATACGCTCTGCTCAGTTCCCTCCTGCTGCCAAGGGGACACCAGGAAGCCACCTACAGAGAGGACCCCGGTGGGCCTGGGCCAGAGAGCTGTTACTTAATTACACCGTAATTGAAATAGCGAGGTGGCTTTTGCACCCTCACGCAGTTACTCACTAGCACTGAAATTAAATTGTGCCAGGCTCTCACGCTTTTTTTTTTTTGTATGTCCAATATGGAAAACTGTCAAGCCTTCATTGCCTTTATCCCTAAATTTCTATGAGAAAGGACAGACATTTCCAAGGGCATTAATTAAGCATCTTTGTGAGCACAAGAGGAAAGATCTCTTGAGATCCCAACTCTCAGAAGAACAAGTGGCCCTAGCTAAATGTCATATAGTCATGTATTATAAGATGATATTATTATTATTATCGATAACTAGTGGCCATGAAGACTAATACCACTGACATGAAAATTTTTTGATACAATGTTCAACGAAAGAATAAAACAAGATTTATGTAGTGTGTATAAGCACGTTATGGCCTTGAAAAATGTATGACAGACATACTAACTAGTTTCACCCACCCAAGTGTTTGATAATGTGTTTATATACTTTTATATTTTGATCTACTAAATTAAAAGATGTGTGAATCACATTATAGGTAGATCATTTAAGACCATTAGGCTTGAAATTAGCTCATCTGTTATAAATATGTCATAAATATTTAGTTGCTAGAACTTAGACACTCAGTTTTGGGGGCCATGAGACCTACCTTTCAAACAAGTGGCTTGCTGGCCCATCTTCCATCTATAAAGTGAATGTACATGTCTCTTCCTAACTAACAGTGACCATAATGGCTGGACTGCTTTGCATCACGCTTCCTTGGGTGGGTACACTCAGACCATGAAGGTCATTCTCGACACTAATTTGAAGAGCACGACGGATCAGCCAGACGAAGAAGGGGTAAGTACTGTGTTCCTCGTACCTACCCAAAATCTTGGCGGAGAAGAAACTTCAAAAATTGCAAGAAGCCGCCTTCTTAGCCACCTTCCCCGCTTCCTAGCCCTGCCCACAGCCTTTTATCGGGTCTTTACCGTGCAAACCCTTAGCGTGAGGAAGGTATAAAAAGAGAACAGAATAAAAAGGATGCCAAGGGGTGGGCACACGCAGGGGGCAGCGCTGCAGTCTGACAAAGACTGGTCCACGGGCCTGTGTGGATTGAGGATTAAATTTCTGCCCTGCCTGGGGAACCGAGAAACATGAAGAGGGCAGGGTAAGTCTTCATAAAGCTAAGTGGATTCGATTGGAAGGACTGTCCTTTATTCTGCTATGATTTTCTTCCTCCTTTTCTTGGAGGGCAAGTATTAGAATGTAAATTCTTTCACAAAATGATGGAGATAGAATATTGTCATTGCCTTTTAAAATGCGGCAAAACTAAAGACTGACAACCTTATAGCAATCTCTGATTTAAAAAAAAAAAATTTATAAGCCTGTGAAAACCCCAGATCTAGAAATTGCTGCTCCGCTCAATGATAATTCTCCCAGAAACATGTTTCTTCTCTGTTCATTCCAGCATCTTTACCCTGAAAATTTGACCTTCGTCCTTGTGGACTCATCCCACTGAGCGAAAACACAGCAAAACAAACCACTTGGAATTCACATGTACACGCACAGACCCTTCCCCAATACCCTACCCCACAAGCCCGGTTTGAATTATAAATTCCTGGTTCCGAAGCTCGATTCTGAACACCAGTTTTAAACTTTATGTGTCTGGGTATTAAATAGTTTTACGCATGATACCTTTTAAGCAGTTCAACAAGGAAACAGAGCACTATCATAGCCGAAGGATGAGTAGCCATCGTCACTGAGTTTCCCCGTTCTTTTTTCCCTAAAAGAACACGGCGCTGCATTTGGCGGCAAGGGAAGGCCACGCCAAAGCTGTCGCCCTTCTTCTGAGCTACGACGCCGACGTCGTCCTGAACAAGCATCACGCCTCCTTTCTGCACTTCGCAATTCACAATAAGAGGAAGGAGGTGGTTCTTACGACCATCAGGAGCAAAAGGTATGCCGTCTCCCTGTCCACTGTCACCGAGCGTCCTCTGGCATGGGGGACGATTCACAACCCGAGGGGAAACAGAGAAAAAGAGTGAGTTTCGGCTGTTAATCAGCATTTTCTAAAGGTCAGTTTACATGGAAGTTTTCAGCAAACTCTGGGTGTGAGCAGCTACGTGGCTTAACCTCTCTGATCTTCAGTTTCCATTTCTAATCATGGAGCATAAGCTGCCTTCTTGACTGTCTTGTGAGACTCACGGGGTTTGGGCATGTGTAGTGTCTGGCACCATGGTCACTGTCAAGCAGAGTCTGCCCTGCCCTACCTGAACTCCCCCGACACTCTCTTGCCAACAGAACCCCCAAAACTCGATGTTGGTCAAAATATTCTACAAGGTAAATCTGCATTGTTACTAGCGCCATGTAATGGCATTTCTTTTAACATGTGATGTTTTGTGGCCGTGGGTGTTTGGACCAGTCTACGGGGAGTTTAAATGATGAAGCTGGAGTGTCGTTTGTCCCACTTCTCGTGCATAAACCTTTCTATATAAGCACAGATGGATGTGTGCAAGGCCCCAGTGTTACCCAGTAGTGGACGCAGAGGTGAACAATCCATATTCAAGGCAGATCAAGCGTGTATTTTTTGAGCACAGTCTCAGGATCCCCTGCTGCTCATTTTTTGGAAACACCAGTCGGTGCCAGCGGGCAACCAGAAGTTTTCTACTGATTACGAAGATGTTCCAGATGGAATTTATTGATAGGGTTAACAGAAAAGTTCTCTGGGTAGTTTTAGAACTAGGCTCCTATTACATAGATAAGCTCTTGGAGGTAAATGGGCTCTGCTTTACTTCCTGTTGTAGATTCATTTCCTCCATAGTATCGTAAATATCTTATCCTGTCTAACTGGATGTTGAGGAAGAAAGGGGCGGAGTCTGCAGTGTTCTCACAGAACTCATGCTTGTTAATGCACTTGACACGTTATTTTGCAGTTTAATTCAATACATGATGTATACATGGATTAAATATTAAATATTTAGAGAAAGAGAATAGCCATCCTGGAATTTGCCCACATTTCTAAATTCCATTAATGGACAAGAACTCTATTGATGAATTGATCTTGGTTCAAATATTGGTTCCACTGAAACCAAGTCAGTTTTCTCCTAAAAATATAATCTTGAATATATGTTGTGCAGAACAGAAGCATTAAGACTTGTGTTTATCATTTTATCTTTACAGATGGGAAGAATGTCTTAAGGTTTTTAATCATAGTTCGTCATGCAATAAATATCCAGTCATGGAAATGGTAGAATACCTCCCTGAGTGCATGAAAGTAAGCTCCCCGCAAAAAATTCCTTCTGGGTATATGCTTGACATATAATATAATGTGAGGATTTATTGTTGTAATCACCAGCTAAATAATAGTCATTTCCATCTTTAAATAAAGTTCCTAGTTTTCCACAGGCTATAAGGGAAGTCAGCCAACAAATAGTTAAGGACTCACTTGGACTTGTCCTGTGGACCATTGAAAAATATGGGCAACAGATTTTTTTAATTCAAATAATCCAAGTCTAGAGCAGAGACTAACAGTGGTCGCTGGCTGAATAAATCTTCCAGATGTGCTTTTAATAGAATGCATGCTCTTGTTTCAAATTTGCATCAGTGGCTAACACTGAAAACCAGGATGCTCCCCTTAAGGATCAGATATCTGGCTTCCTGGGAAAATCGGAAGATCTGGTGACTGAGCTACCTTCTCCCAAGGCAGGACTGGCTGGGCGAGCAGCAAGCCCTCCCCCACCTGGCACACCCCACCTCCTCCTTTCGTGTACTCAGCTCTAATGCCTGGTATCAGTTGCCATGCACTGTCATTCTTGTGCAATTGCTTTCCTTGTCATAGACCTACTTCTCGATCTATGCCTCTGCCCAGGGTGTGAAGGTAAACGCTGGCTCTGGGGGAGCCCACATTTCAAGGGCAATGGGAAAGCGCTGCTCAGGCTGGCATAGTTCATTCATTTACACCTCTGCCGGCCTCCAAATGTGTGAGTCTCCGTGCTAGATTAAACCCAGCATGTGACCAGAAACCCGCCACAAGAGAAACATTTACACGCTGTTGAGCGCAAGGGTGCAGATAAGACACCTCCTGGCAAAGCGGAGGTTTGAGGACAGGGGCAAACAAGATAATCAAGAAAAAGAGGAAAGACTTCGATATCGTTCATAGGAAAAAATATATTCAGGTACTAGAGGAGGCAGTGAGACATAGTGACACAGAGAACAGAGGACCGGATTTGGAGCCTGGTGGCTCTGGGATTTAGTCCTGGCTCTGCCTGTTGCTTTAGGCAAATCATTTTGCCTCTCTGAGCTTCATTTCCTATTTTTGTTATTTTTAAAACAGTGACGTTGATACTGATCTTGCAAGGTGACTACAATAAGTAGAGGTAAAATATATATTTAGGATAGTGCTTGGCCCATATTACACATCCTACTATTTTTATTCTGCTTATGTGGTTATTAGAACTACCACAACTAAAACTGTTTTTATTTATTCAATAAGCACTTAGTATGTGCTAAGTGCTGCATGTGTCTTTTTTCTTTATAATATCTAATGGATTTTGGAGCAGGTCAAGTTCATAGATTAGCATTTTAGGTGCATAAATTTCATCAAAGGGCACATAAATATTCAGGAATGAAGATGGTCTCAGACTTTCTTACTCACTAATTCTAGTTCAAATTTGTCCTAACAAATAATCAGAGGGACAGATGGATTTATATATAATATTTTCCATAGCATTATTATTAGTGAAACATATATGTTAGAAATACTTACATATGGAAAACATAGAAAATAATTAAGAAAATACACTAAAATGTTAAGATTTTTCGTAGGTGTGAGATTATGACCAGTTTTTCTTCTTTATGCTACTATATATTTTCTAGTTAGTTTTCTATAATGACTTTGTATTTTAGTATCGTGAAATGTTTTTAAAAAGAGAACTTAAAGGCCTTTTTGTTTAGCCTCACATCACACAGTTGAGTGACGTACACCCTCCCACCCTGGAACCTGTCCCCCTCCCCAGGCCGACCATCCGTTATCCGGCCCATCCTGATGATCTCAACACTCTCCAACCCTGGCAACCAGACCCGCCTCTCTGTTTCTGCTTCGTATGACACTGCTGACCAGCTTTGCTTTATTTTCATGATGCCTACTAGGGCCCCTGGTACTACTAACAGACTTCTTCGAAACCTTCTAAGGCCCCCTGGTGTTGAGACCAGCAGTGCCTTCCTGGTGGGGCCCCTTCAGTGTGCTGTCCTTCAGGTGGGGTTGACCAGATGTCCCTGGGGTCTTGTGTCCAGATCTGGTTCCAAGAAGGTAGCCTGGCTGGGCAGCGTTTCTTTCTTGGGGTCACCAATTCGAGCCACCTGAAATGTGCCAACACACAGATTTGGGGTGACTCAAATCGTTCACATAGGCAGGGACCCCACAAAAACATTTGTCCCCACACACCCTCTGGGCAGTTCCAATGACCCAGTAAGTGTCCTCTCCCTTTGTGGAGCATCCGCAGGGCCATCAGTAATTCTCCTACAACATGTCTCCTCCACTGTCCTGTCCACGCAGCCCTAGATGCATTCTTTGTCATTGCTGCCGGCAACTTGGGGACAGAAGCAAACACAGTGCTTACTCCAGGCTCAAGCAATGCGGATGGGACCCTGGCCAAAGAAAGTCCCCAGAGCTCAGCTGAAAGCCGATTAGGGACAAAATATCATTGCTACCAAATGCGGAGCAAAGGAATCCTGAATCCTCTATATATTGTTCTCTAGAAGCCCAGAAAGACGTCAAAGACGTCGAATTTTAGCAAAACTAGTGGAACGTTTCTTATTCAAATTCTAGTAAATACCATTTCCTTCTCAAGCACCTGGTATTTTTCTGAATCATTTAGTATTTTGAGGCATGCAGTAGTAATCGTAACATTTTACTTTTTAAACTTTGTTCCTGAATGGCATGGATTGTAGTTGATCTCTGAGGTGCAAGAAGCAAAGGGAGGGGAAGGGGCTATCTCCAGTGTTCTTTTAGAAATGGGACCAAATCCTGTCTCATAACTAGTCTCCTGCCCAACACCTTAGCCGTTTTTCCTCTCTCCAAGGTACTTTTAGACTTTTGCATAATACCCTCCATGGAAGAAAAGTCATGCCAAGACTACCATGTAAGTTTATTTTACCATAATAACTTGAAGTTTATTATAGTTCTTTAAAGAATATTGAAAGTGTCACTAGAGTTCCACAGTCTCAGAAGATGGTAATTAGTGTCTTCATTTGTCAGATTATTACATTATCTACTTACGAATATTTCCGCCTTAGATCCTCACTTTCCCCACAATATTTTAATTGTCTAATAGCATTATGTAGAGTTGTTTCTAGTCTTTATATTTTCCTGGGTAGAATTGCTTGAAGAATGGCCTTCTAAAAGGTCTAAGCGATCTTTTTATAGTTCATCTTTTTCCATGACTATAAATTAAAAATCAAACAACAGCTTTTTAGATTTATTTTTTACACCAATCTGCAATAATTTAATTTACTTTTCTTCATTATGAAATGATTCAACTTTATTTGAATTACTTAATTTTTAGCAGAATTGCAGGCTTGTGTGCATGATTTGTTAAGAACAATTTTGGGGTCTATATTACACTGTAATTTTTAAAAATTATTTCTACAGATCGAGTATAATTTCAGATATCTTCAGTGGCCATTAGAATGCACCAAACAAGCATCTGCACAGGATGTTACATATGAGCCTCTCACCACCCTCAATGTAAGTCCAGCTTTCATTTTCCAGGTAGTTTAGTTTCTACACGGGTTCTGTGACATTTTGGTACAATAGTTCAGGAAGGGCCTGGAGAGAATTCCAGATTTGTAGTTTTAAGTCTGTCTGCCAGGTGGCCCAACCCTTTATTTTTGTTAGTAAAGAAAGCAATCATTTTCTACAATTGCTATAATTTGGTCCTCTTATTAAAGTTCCACACTCTTGATCACTTTATCCCTCACAGTCACATTAAACCTGCCCCCACCCAGAATGCAATAAACCATGGCCAGCACAGGCCGCCCACCAAACACAGACATGCGTACTTAAGAGTTCCCTCCAGTGCACACCAGAGGAAAATGCGGGAGTCGGCATTTTACAGTCATAGCTTCCAAGTTCAGCCAAGCACTGGGCTCCACGCTAAACTCTGGCCTTTCCCAAAAGCTCTTAGATCCTTCTGAAAGAGTAAACCCTAAATGCACAATATGGACCCACATTTCCTAAGAGACTTGATCCAAAACAGCTCTTATTCCAAAGAGTGCTTTTACATTTCTAGCAGATGAGGCAATTAAAGCCATACAGTTGGTCTACTTCAATCTAAACCAAGGGTCTCAAACTCAAATAACTGCAGAGGGAACAGGAAACAGATGAGGGGGTCCCAGTCGGGGGTCCCGGTCTAAAAGGACCATGGCTACCAGTTTCAACAAATTGACCCCTTGCGGGAATGGCAGCCCAGGCTTATGCAAACACTGGCAACAATTAAAATTGCGTGCATGCAAGAGAAACCATATTTGAGATTGGATTTGTAAATTGTGGTCTAGGTTCTAGATCTGTGCTGTAACCATGAGCCACATGTGAAAACTTAAAATTAATTAAAATTAAATAAAGTTAAAAAATTCATTTCTTCATTTGCAATAGCCCATTTCCAGCACTCAGGAAGCCTCTGCGTTCTGTGGTTCTCATGTTCAACAGCAGAGATACAGGACGTTTTCATCATTTCAGAGTGTTCCCTTGGACAGCACTGATGTAGACC